GTGTGTGTGTGTATGTGTGTGCCGGTCGCCGGTGTATTGTGTGTGTGAGTGTGTGTGCACAGTAGTTAGTATGTGTAAGTGTGAGAGAGAGTGATAAATGGAGAGGATGTGATATATGTCACGTGCGTTTGCTGGTAGATGGTGGACTGAGTGGGTTGTTAGTGGGGCATGTGGATGGACTATTTGGCAAAATATCTAAACTACCCTTAATGAAGTTATAATTTTGACTTTTTTCTAGCCACTAGATCATTTGATCTAATGGTCACGATTTATTCTTATTTCTTTCATGGAGAATCATTCTCACTTGAACCCAACCCATATATATATATATATATATATATATATATATATATATATATATTATACCTTTTGTATGTCTGTCTTGGAGACTTGTTCTAACTTGTTTTCTAGCTCCTTTGTCGCGAGCTTCTTCGAGGCTGTCTTTGTGCGTCATCGTTCCATTAAACACCTGATATTGCTTGTTTAAAACCAACTTTGGTGGACAAAGGATGTCCATAACACAAGTTCGACACGTCTTTGCTTGACATTCCCCTAAAATAAAACAAAGCATATGTTGATAACCAGAGCCGGTCCTGAAAATTATGAGGCCCTGGGCAAAAAAAATAATAATGCCTCGAACTTTCTCATTATTTAAAAGATATTGTCATGAGCTATTACATTTTCAATAAAAATTTTAGATATTTCAAATGACCGTTAAGCGTATAAAAAAATAATAATAGTTAAACGAGCGATGAGGGGAAAGAGGCACCAAAATGCAACAAAAAAAAAAAAAAAAATTTCAAATGCGATCAATGATTGGAGCTCTTGTGTTTTTTTAAACCCTTAAAATAGAGGCATAGTTAATCATACCTATAATAATTTTAGATAGTCGGTTTTGGAAATTTGAAATTTTGTGAGTTAATTAGAACCAATTTATTTATAAGTTACCATGTATTAAACATAAATATAATATAAAAAGGGCAAAAATACAAAAATCTAAGTAATAATCTACATGATTCTCAATTTAAATAAAAAATATATTTTCTAAAACCATTACAACACTAAATGAATTCCTAAACGACTTTACTTTTAAAAATTTCATATGTTTTTTTAAAGTATTAAACACATCTTAGTATGAACAAAATCAAAAATTACTTAAGTTTTTAGTAACCGTAAAGTGGGTAAGAACAAAAAAGGCTTTTCATATGCATAAATCAGGAATTAATGACACCGCCTAACCTTCTCCTTAAACAATTTTCGTAAAAGTGCCCATTCCCTATTTAGACAGTTTTTCTCCTTTTTTTTTACAATTATAAACTTTTAAATTTTTATTTTTACTCCCTGCGTCAGTTACTATTTTTATCTTTCCTTTTTTTTTTTGTTTTTTATTCTTATTAACCTTATAAAGTTGATCTTCTCTTTCTCTTCAATCTAATTTTTCCTCCAAATCTATTTCCCAAAATTTTGCCCCAAATCCACATTCCAAATCTTTGGAGTGAAGGAACGGCAAGAACATCATCTTCAATCGGTAAAGATGGTTCCTTCAAAAACCGCAAAGTTCTTCAATCGCTCCGTGCAACTACTTAGTTTCTGAAATCCGTGGATGCGAGTCATTTTTGGGCGGGGAGTGGCAGCCGAGGCAACGGTCCTGGCTGCGTGCGAGGGGTGTTGGACTTGCCGAGCACGGGACTGGTGCGTTTCAGAAGGTTTGTATTTTAATCATCCAATGTTGCCTTAATTTAAGATTATCAAACCAGGTCAAAAAGATGCCAACAGACCTGATGCCAAACCCGGGTTGTGTGGATATTTTTTAGATTTTTTTACGAAATTGAGATCCAAGTTGACTGGTTGATCCCACCATTTTTTTTTTTCTTTTTGGCTTCGTTTTTATAATTTTTTTATGAATAAAGAGTATTTGTATAAATTTTTATTGGAAATATTAATATATTTGTGTTGTAAATATTAGTGATGAGAAAAAATAATTTAAAATTAATTATCTGATTTTGTAATTAACTTGGTACCCGCGTTTGTATGATGCTCCAAGCGTGTGGCAAGTTCTTAATGATAACTATTTTTGTTTTGTGTTTGAAATTATCCAATAAATTCTCTAATTACTAAATGCTTGATATTTTCAACAATAAATTTTCTCATAAGAATTATGTCAGATATAGAAATGTGAATGTGAATCTTTCAAAGGTTATACCGAAACTGACGATGGTTCATATTTTTAATGTTTATATATAGTTGTTTTTATGTTACTTGAAAGAAGTTTCGTTGTTTTTGTTTGTTCTCTTATGATAGATGATATTTTTAATGTTTACATACAGTTGTTTTTATGTTGCTTAAAAAAAATATTGTTGTTGTTGCTTATTTTGTTTTGGTTGTTGTTTTTAAAATATATATTTGTGTTGGTTTTTAGTTGATTTAATTGTTTAAAGTTTTTTTGTATTTTTTTTTAGGCATTGATGGTTGAAGAAGAAGAAGAAGGGAGAACTGAGAAGAAACGTGAAAAGAGAAGAAAGAAAGAGAGAGAATGAAAAGAAGAAAGAGAAAGATAGCAGTTAGAGAGCAGTTATTTAATTTAAAATAATTTTAATAACTTCTTATGGGAGTATATTTGGAATTCTATATAGTTGGTTTCGTGAATGAAATTTTGGTTTAATAGTGAGTTAGTTATGTAATTTTCCCCATAAATCAGTGGAGAAAAAATAATTACAAAATGTTAAATATTTAAGTGTGCCTCTTATTTTATATGGAGAAAAATAATAACAAAATGTTTGGGTATATATATTGGGCTCCTTTTCTGACTTTGGTTGGCACAACTAAATTGTGGGAGTCGGAAAAAAAAAAAAAAAAAACGGTTTCTAAAATTAGGTAGGCATTTTCTTACAATTGGGCCCATTTTTCAAGTTGGGCCCATTTTTCTATGTTTGGTTGAGGCACAATACATTTCTAATAGACAATAACAAAAATAGAAACAACTTGAAAAATTAAATAGACATTTTCTTATTATTGGGCCCCTTTATCAAGTTGGGCCCTGGACCAGGGCCGGCCCTGTTGAACACTGACATAAATAATTACGAGGAAATTATATGGTGCACGACTCCTTATATATTTAATTACAATTTTACACTTAAACAATTAAATTTAGCAAAAGTACAAATTCCTGTCATTTGTATTGCAGTTATACGAAAATAAGAACATAAATATATTTATTCTATTATCGCTGATTTTGGGGGATAACTTACCAAATAAAATCAAAACTACCCCCATTATCGCACATAATCAATCCTCGCTTATCTCACACACCAAACCCACGAACAAAAAACGCAACTCTCATCTGTAAACCCTAGATTCCATTTTCATGGCAAAAACCAAATTGCCTCCCACAGTAGGCGACCCTCCAACTCCCGGTGCCGGTGTTGATGCACACAGGCGATCGAGCACTCGTATGAAGCAAATCCTGGCCAGAGATAAAAGTACACTCATACAGAAAAAGCTCGATTTCAAAAAGAACATGAAGCCAACTGGAACAAGCAAGGAACTCGGCAAATCCCGACACAACAGGCAGAGCGCCAACCCAGATTCCGACGACTTTCAGTCGGACCATGGCGAATTTCATCACATAGATGCTCGGAGACCTCAAAAAAGAAAGATCCCAAATGCTACTGAAGCAGAAGAGTCGCGAGATCCAAATTATCATGCTGAGGATGATACACACGCTGCAGTAGATGACTCTGAAGGAAACTTGAGTGATGAATATGAGGATGAGCGAATATCGGGGATGAAATTCAGTAAAAAAAGGAAGGATGGAATACAGGAAGGACATCATTTCACAAAAAAAGAGGACAAAAGATAGCAGGGCTTTAGGAAATACAACTGGGGATTCTCCTATAGGCAAAGCATTCAAGGTGAACTAGCATTGTTGAAAGTTATCTGTTAATTTCATATATTGAGTTCCTAGTTTATAAAGTCAAAATATTGTATTTTCAATTTAATGTGGTCCCATTGTTGACGAAGTTCATTTTCGTTGATATAAATTTGACGAAAAAGTTGGTCCCACTGAACCCTTTACAATTGTTGAAGAATACTCTTTTACTTGGATAAGATTCATGTTTGAAATTGGTAAAACCTGATCTTTTTTTTAGGTTTGTTATGGTTTGTAAATTTTATTTTCTGTGTAAAGGTCTTCTGTAGTCATGTTTGAACATGGTTTGTTTGTCTAGTGTATATCTGTAGTTTTTTTTCATGGATATGCTAAGTAAATTTTTACAAATATTTCAATTTTATATTATATCATGTTTTTACGATGTCTATGCTGAATATATGTTGATTTTTTGTCATGTAAGTGTAATTTATGTGTTTAAGTCCTAGTTCATCTGACTAGTTTATTTCACGAGTTTGTGTAGTTCAGTTGTCTGTTATGACAATATTAACTCACACAGCATATGAATATCTTTAGTTTACTTGTCTGATGAGCATATGAGTAGTCTATTTGATGTTTATGTATATGTGAATTCACTTTTAATGTGAGATTAATTCTAAGTGCTTATGTATATGTTAGTTTAAATCACTCCTGAGTTTATTGACTTTATATATGTATGTATATATATATACATACATCAATATATATATATAGTTTTATATTCATGTCAAATTGTATATGTCTCAATATTTACTCCCGAGTTTGGTATATGTACAATATATGTGAAACATGTCAGATAGTGTTTATGATTGGTAACCTGTTAACATCAAAATATGTCATATATTTTATTATTGTTAGTTCAAGAATCATTATATGTTTAGTTCTGGTCACCACAAAACTAATATTTGAAGGTTTATGTTTGTTATGTACAATGTTATCAAGTTGTCACATCAACTTATGTTATTTCTTGTAGGAATGAGAATTGATCATACCAAATCCCAGGGATTTAAATGTCAAGGTTCTAAACAGTAATGACAACAGCAGAGACGATTCTACAATTGGTGAAATCAAGCGAATGCTTTCAGCCGAGCAGTTAGATTTGTTTAGAGAGTCTGCATTTGGTAAGTTCTTGGATCTACCACACTGCAAGGTTCAAAACCAGCTTGTCAATCGGATTCTTTTACGTGAGGTGCATCAATCAAGGAGCGACGAGCTTTGGCTTGACTTTTGGGGGAGGTTATTTCGGTTTGGCATCGAAGAATTTGCCCTGATAAAGGGGCTGAAATGTGCAGGACTTTGCAAGAATTTGAATATTCCTCACGTAGCTGATGGAATGTACGACAAATTCTTTCCTGGCGTTGGATTAAACAAAAACTTCATCCGATGGCAGTTTCTACAAAAATACTGGAAAAACGATGAAGATGCTGTTAAATTTGCCAAGTTACACTTACTTGCAAATTTTTTAATTGGGTCGCAAGACACTCTTAAGGTAGACAGATGCTACCTTGACATGATAGACAGTGTCGAATGTGACGATTTTGATTGGGGAACCGAAGTGTTTGAGTTCACGATGCACCATCTGAAGAAATCCACTCAATATCGACAACAGATCCATAAAGCTGGGAAAACAGTGAGTGATGGCTACCTCTACAGGTGCTACGGGTTTATCCTTGCCCTCCAACTTTGGTTCTATGAGGTTTGCACCTCTGCAGATGTGTCATTTGCACATGCCTAAGCGGAAATGACATGCCCATAATGCTCAAATGGGAAGTACGTGGCAGTCACAATCGTGCCTTTATGCAAAGAATATTTTCAAATTTGGATTCTAGCAAGGCAATAGCTATATCTGTACGTAATTATTTTCAAGATAGGACAAATATGTTCCTGTATTCATTCAAATACCCCCATACACTAATTTCTTAATTTTCTTTTTTTCTCGGCAGTTCAAGAAATTGATACCCACCGACGAAGAGAAACACACGTTGTTTATTAATGATTGTTTCAAGAGCAAGAATGAGTTTAATCGTGATGAAATCCTGACAACCGACCACCATCAGCATAAAACTGAATCAGAGGTCATAAAACGTCTTGACACACTTACTCATTAGGTTGAAACTCTGAAGCAAATGTTCCTTGACTTTTCCAACCGGGTATTTGCGGAATTTGCCTTATTCAAGGAAAAGTTCAATGTAAGTACATATTTGTCAAAGTATAATAATTTTGATAGATGTTGCAAGTAGTTTTTTTTTTTTTTTTTTTTTTTTTTTTTTTTTTTTTTTTTTTTTTTTTTTTATATTCAGTTTATGATGCCAAGAAGACTTTTTATATTTAGTATTATAATTCTGATATATGTTATATACAGTCTGATATATGTTATAATAATTCTGATATATTATATACATTTTTTTTTATATTCAGTTTATGATGCCAAGAAGCTTTTTTATATTCAGTATTATAATTCAGATATATGTTATATACAATCTGATATATTATATACAGTTTTTTTTTTATTATATGAATAGTCTATATCATATTTATGTACACATATATTCATATATACAAATGTATATATTTATATGTGTGTGAAATTGTATATGTCTCAATATTTTCACTCCTGAGTTTGGTATATGACTCAATAAATGTGAAACATGTCATAACTGGTTTTAAGATTGGAAACCCTTATGTACTGAATTATAATTCAGTACATATCAATTTCATTTATAAAGTAAAAGGTAAGTTTTAAGTCAAGTCTAAAATAAGAAAATTGTTTATTAAGGATAGTCTGTTTTGTTCATCATTGTTCTTGTTAAATTGTCTGTTCAGTTCATATTTGCGATGAAAGTTTATGATAGATTTATATATCTCAAACATACTACGATTCTGTTTTTGGTATATATGTATACAGTCCCGCTCACCTGCCCACCGTGGGCATGTGAGCAAAACCATATATGTATATATATATACATATATATATTTTGGAATCCATCTTAATTTTTTGATATTCATAATTACATTAGGTTGGTGAAAATAAAGATGGAAATGTTATTGATGAAGCAGCTGCTGGAATTGACACTGGACCTTGTGAAATGGATGAAGCCCCTCATACAGATGAAGGAATTCAAACGGTCAGTTTAATCTTAATAAATGTGTTTTGTACTATTAAATATTATATTTACATATATATAAACTTAATATTAGTATAATGTAACAGAAGGACTATCCAAAGACATCAGATGTTGTTATCGATCAACCGGGACAGGTTACCGCGCACTTACCAAATACATGTGTTTAGTTTTATACATTTTTTTTAAACATAAACAAATGGTGTATAATATAATTCAAGGATTCTGTCCTTTATATACATTACTTTTTTTTTTTCTTTTTGTTTGGCTCTTAAACAGAATGCTCCCGAGCCTACTATAGTGGCAACAAGAACTAAATCTGAAGCCCTAATGAAGCTTGCCGCTGATCGAGTATTTAAAAAAAACTTTAATAGTTTATGTTGTGTATATAACATATGTATATATTGTTGGAACCCACGAGGATCTCGATATGCACAAATCACAGACAAACATTCAACACAAACCTATGCACAGCGGATCTAAAGGTTTGATGAAGAAAACTTACTGCTTAAAATTTATGTAGATCTGGCTGGCCCGGACAGTTGACCGCAAATCAAATCTTCTCGGAATCCAACAAACTTGACCAATCCAGAAAACTGACGTCACGGCGAAGTCAACGGCGTTGACCGGTCGGAAAACTGAGCTCTCACGCGCGTCTGCAAGATCCAGCTGCTGCTCCCTTCCGGCGGCGCGTGGCGGCGCGTGCGGCGGCGGCTGGCGGCGATCTCGACGGCGATCTCTTCGTCTCGTCGTCCTGGTCGTCGTGGTATGGTCACTTGCTGGTTTTGGTCTCCGGTTTGGATGTATGATCGGAATCTCTATATACCTTAAGATCTTCTACTGTATTCTCAAACAGCTTTCTAGATCTTGTATCAGTGGAGCACAAGAAATAGAAGAACTCCTTGGAAGAGAGAGAGAGAGGTCTGGACGCAATTCCCAAGTTATGGGATTGTTCTCATTGTTCTCTTCCATGAGCCTAATGCTGTATATATAGAGCTACAGTAGGGACCCTAAGGAGAATAGGATAAGAGCTTCTAATATACCTACCCTAAGGAGAATAGGATAAGGGCTTCTAATATATTAATACTGTGGAGCAACCCCACAATGAGTAAAATGTATTTTTCGTCCTGTATGTTTACCCCTCTAAACATTTTAGTCCTCTTTGAATTGCATTTTTGATTTTCGTCCCGTATGTTTGAAAAAAAGTTACAAAAAGGTCTTTGTCATACATAACGGATGAAATTGGAACACCTTATTGCAAAACATAAAGGACCTTTTTATTGCGAAAAGAACCTTTCTGCAACCTTTTTTCAAACATACGGGACGAAAATAAAAACGCAATTCGAAGAGGACTAAAATGTTTAGAGGGGTAAACATACAGGACGAAAAATGTATTTTACTCCAATATATTAATAATATTAAAGTCCACCACAATAATATTATTGCACTCCCTTCACCT